GGAGAAAAGCTGAGAGCGGGACCCTACCCAAAGAAGCAGTGAGGCCAGAGATGGAGGCAGAGATGATGACGCAGAGAGATGGAGTGGCTGGGGATTTTAGACCCAGAGAGGGAGAGGGGCTGTGTGCTGACAATTGGGTGCAGGCTTGCAGGTTATACCCTTTGGTTGGTTGATGATGCATGGAGGGGATTGTAACCATGGCAATGAAATATCGATAGGATGAATGTAAAGCTAATGTTCTCTCATGTAAACTATCACAGAATTCACAATAAAACATTAAAAACAAAAAAACATAATGAAGTAGAAAATAAAAATTTCCTGTAAAAATTATTAGAAGAAAGGAGGACATGTGAGAAAGGCCTCAAAAAGTTTTTGGGAAAATATTCTACTATCTTTTCATTACATTTTCCATAAACTTTTTGAAGTTCCCCTTGAATTACTGTTAGTGATTGCTCTAAATCTAATCCCCAAGAGTAATCTGCTTTGCAATTACTGAAAGGAAAATAATTATCCTCGCTACTCTCTTGCACCCTGAAAATTTTGCTCAGGGTCTCTGCATGTGTTCATTCCCTTCACATGGCCAGGTGGTTTACCACAGAGATATTTTTCTCCACAACATACTGATTTAGTATGAGTTTGCCTGGTATATTTGTGATGATAATAAGGAAGTTTACAGTCCTTAAGGGAACAGGATTGTTTGGGGAAGATATAAGTAGGCAGGATATATGAGAGGACTATGAAAAGCTAGAAGGGCTAACCACTTCCAGAATAGGAGCTAAGAGAAAATATATTTAGCTTCTTCTTAATCCATAAGTAAAACCAAACAAACCAAATATCACTCTGTTGATGATAAATCAGAGTAGAACTGTCTGGAGGCTTTTCCTGAGGCAGTGCATTTTTTAGGGAAACTGACCAACATACAAAAATTTACTTAACCCACTGTGTTTAGTCTTTAAGAAAACTACCTTTGAAAACAAATGTTTGTGCTTATCTAGGAAATAACTACGAAACAACACAAGCAGCAGAAAAGGGTCAGGGGCAAGGCATACACAGTTGAGTTTAGCAGATATCTGTCATGGACTCACTGGTAGGGAAGGTGTGTGTGTGCACATCAATGACTCATTTTGATACAAAACTCAGGGTCACCAATGCAGTTTCGGTACTCAAATGTCTGCCATGATATAGTGTCTACTGTGTGGAATGGAAGAACAGAAAGTTTTTACTAAATAAAAATTCAGTATCATCACAAATGTACCAAAAAACTTAAACTAAATCAGTATGTTGTGGAGAAAAGCATCTTTTCAGGGGTACATGGTCTGGGCATAGGAAGGGAATGAACATATTCATGGTAATAGGAGCCTTTGAGCAAAATTTTCAGGGTGCAAGAGAGTAGTTAGGATAACTCTTTCCTTTTAGTCATTGTGAAGCAAATTCATTCTTAATGAGGTTGCTTTCTTACTGGGATATCATTTAGAATGAATGTGGTGGTGTGCCGTGGAGTCAGTTATGACTCATAGACACCCTGCATAGGGTTATCTTTACGGGAGCAGAAAGCCTCATCTTTCTCCCATGGAACACCTGGTAGTTTCGAACTGCTGACCTTAAGGTTAGCATCCTGACTCGTAACCACTACACTACCAGATGAAAGTCAAATTTAGGAAATAAAGAAGGGGTGCGTGCTTATGTGAAGGTAAACATAAAGGCCCAGATGTCAGAGCAGAGGGTGTGCTATATCCGAGACACTGAAGGAAGTCTACCTAGCTTCCTTGTAGAATGGTATCCTGTGAGAAGAGTATGAAAGATGACCAGAGACCATAGGGGCCAGGTCGTACAGGCTCAGTGAAGAGTTTAAATTTCATTCTTAAACTCCAAAACCAAACTCACTGCTCTAACAGACCTATCTAGGGTTTCTGAGGTTATGCATCTTTACGAGAGCAGAAGGCCTCGTCTTTCTTTCGTGAAATGGCTACTGGGTTGAAGTTCACTGCTTATCTTACAGTGTCACCAGGGATCCTCAAATTTCATCCTAGGAGGTCAGAATTTTATGACGAAAGCTTGCATGTGTCAACTCAACAGAAGAGGTAAGACTATTAAGTTGGGAGCTCAGTTGAGAATGTTTGCAATAATTCAGGAAGAAATGATGTTGCCTATTTCTTTAAGATGAGGTTGGAGAATTGCTGAATTTTAAGAGATATTTAAATGGTACAACTGAAACACCATGGAGATTAATCAAAGAGTTTCAAAGCAGATATTCAGATTTCTGGTTGGACCTCCGGCTAGTTAGTGATTTCTCCATTGCTTTGTAAGATTTTAAAGGAAAAGATGATGCTGTGTTTTAGGTGCCTAAAAATCATCACAGTAAAGTGGTCCTGTGAGGTTTGGGATTTGCATGTCTAAAGCCTATGTGAAATAGGGGCTAAAGATACAGATTCGAGGCTGTTCTCTTCAAATACCTTCTTCTGTCTTCCAAATAACCACACTTTTCTAGCTTCTTCCTTAAACCAATTTAAGAAGTATTTACTGAGTATCCTCTGTGCATAGGTACCTTGAAGTCACTCAGAAACAGTTGCTGCCTCCACTGGAATAGACTAAATTTAGCACAGAGAAACCAACAAAACAAAGAGAAAAAAACTCCAGAACTTTTATATAGACAAGATCCACTGAAGGGAAACTTTGGGAGAAAGGACAGAGTTGGATTATAAAGCCAGTCAATAAACACTAGGAAAGGGCTGACTGGAGCAACAAGAACAGGAAAGTAGGGAAGGAGGGAGGTTGTAGCTCACAAACACACCTAAAATATTCCATTTGTTTAGTATAATTTTTGGTTTCAAAAGTTTTCAGTGATTGGCTTTTATAGCAGTATATTTATCATCTTAGCTTCCATTTCTCCTCTCTACTTAACTAATTCCCCACTCATCTGTCAGTCTGTCGTACTATGCTTATTCCCCACTCATCTGTCAGTATGTCGTACTATGTCTTGCTGTGATGCTGGAAGTTTTGCCACTGGTATTGCAAATACCAGCAGGGTCACCCAAGGTGGACAGGTTTTAGCGGAACTTCCAAACTGAGAACAGACTAGGAAAAATAATTGGTTGATGTTAAATCATTTCAGGAGGTAGCATGTGATCAAGAACCAATTGTATTGAAGGAAGCAATTCAACTGAAGGCACTAGTGTAAAACAAGGCTCAAATAATTGATGGAATGCCAATAAAAAGGTTTAAAAGAACTCATTCAGTGTTGGAGGCACTCACTGGTCTATGCCAAAAAGTTTGGAAGCCAGGTACCTGATCAATCAAATGGAAGAGATCCATATTTGTGCCTACCCCAAAGAAAAGTGACCCTACAAAA